CATCAAAATATTGCATTTTTTAAATTCTTTAATAACAATTGTCCATCTCATGTCTCAGACTTGATACTGCCCTTTCTTAATAACTTTGAACATTACAACTTTCGACACAATAGGTTATTTGACAATCCAGTACCAAGAACGCATTTATATAACTCTAGTTATTTTCCAAAACTGATGTCAGAATGGAACAATCCAGCCTGTCTGTTTCCCACTATGACATCTCTTGGAGCTCTGAAAAAGGAATGTTAACGTTCATCCCATATGGATGATGTTCACCCAATATGTAGTAACATTTGTAAATATCACGGTGATAGAAAAATTAACATCACATTATGTCAGTTAAGAAATTCTGCAAGTAATTTAAATTCAGATTTATTTAATGCACATCTAAATGATAGCCCTGCTTGTATATGTGGCTCCCCCTCCGAAGATCGTGATCATTTTTTCCTGCACTGTCCTTTTTATACTAACCAACGACTAATATTACTTAACTCTCTGTCAACGATGAGTGATGCTATTCCACTCAATACCCAAACTTTTATTTATGGTTTCCATCACGAGACGTAAATATGAATATAAATGTTGTGGAGACGGTTCAGAATTACATTAGAGACACTAGACGTTTTTATTAGATTCTCAAATAACTTTGTAAAATAATCTCTTTTATAACAATTGTGATATTTGAAATATCTATTGTCAAATCAAATTCAAAGTACAAATAATCTCTTGTTTTAATACTTAAAGAAACACCTGTAAAAGTAGCATTTATATGATATGTATATACTGTTATGTTTTGTAAGGAGAGGGCTGATATAGGCTATGCCTGTTGCCCAATTCCTTTTGTACATAAGATCAGTACAATAAAATATTCTGAAATGAAATATGTGTTTTTTACATAAGTGGTTAATCTAGTAACTGTAAATAATATACCACTAGAGTCACATAAAAAAAGGTTCGTACCTTTGGCGTAAGGACTACAACACAGAAGAGATCACTTCCAAAAACTACCCCGGCCACCCCCTTTTAAAATCCTTTAACCAGAGACATATATACTATACTATAGTGTATGTACTGCATATATACTGTTTTTTTACGCCTTTGTTTTAACCGCCCAATGTTTATTTTTTAAAACAAAACTTTTTTAATCAAGGTGTTTGATCAGAGTCGTATACGTTTCTGGTCTGACGTGCTGCCAAAAAAATACCCGGTAAATAATATATTTTTTGTTATTAAATTGATGTTTAGAAAAATTTGATGAACACCTATATACAACACCAAACAATTGATTAAAAAACAATTGATCTAAATTGATCAAATTAACGTAGGCGCACCAAGAGTATATAATATATACATTTCTGGCGCACCGCACCCCTTTCTTTACAATATGCAGATATATACGATTGGATTTGACAAAAAATATGCACCGGTACAATAATTAATACTCAAAATGAGCAGCAACCCATGTTTTTTTCACTCCCAGTCGTAAAACGTTTTTATTCTGTATGCAATCCAAGGAATTAAGCACACACCACTTCTAAGAATATTACAGAGGGAGAACCTGTCTGTTCAAGTCTCACACAGATTAGTAATTTATCAATGAAACACCTGATCAGATATATAGCATGATCCAGCATTAATTGCCTCGTTTCTGATTTTCATCTGTCGCGTGATCCAGTTGTACTGATTGTGGTTTGAATATAATGTGACTCTGTGACAGCACTTACGCATTTCATTTATTAATATCTTTCTTGAAATTGATCATTATACCAGAGACGTAATATATTGATATATACGTCTCTACGTTAATTTGACTATTTTTCCACGTTATCTCACCTGAGGACATTGTTGTTAAATTGAAAATTTGAAGACACATAATCTACACCAATCTACATACTAACTTCAGGACCCCCCTTGCCCATCTGATGACATCCCTATGATGTCATACCTGTACACAGGTATATAGGTGTATCGTGGGCCTCCTGCTGTCGGTACAGGTGTTTAGTGTTGTTTACCTGTACACAAATTTCAAACCCTAGTATGCTAAGGGAGCGGATCGAGATGACTTTCATAATTTAACCTAGATGTTAAATTAAAACGTGTGTAGGCTACATGTATAGGGAGAAACAAACAAAAATAATCTCATAATTCAATGATATTTTCGAGATAAATAAAATTCTGGAATTAGATTATAAAAGTCCGTGATCTAGTTTAGCATCGCAAGTGTGACGTGTAAGAGGGTTCGTTACCAGGTCACTGCCTGGGATTTGAGATATCTACACCGTCCCCTTAGTACAATATATATATGTATCGGATTTACTACAACTACATGCCTCCCGGGCATGCTAAAGCAACATGAAGATATTTACAGTGGTTATTTGACCATAACGTATCGTTAACCATACATATGTAAAGGCGCAGCTGCACACACTGCTGTCAACAGTGTTGTTAGTACCGCGGTGGCGGCTCAGCTCACCTGTATTTATACCCTCTGTAACTCACGTGATCGGATCCATCTGTATCTCCATCACGTTTTACGTGGATGTAATTGTAGCAAGACTCTTTCCGCCTGGATCTACTTTCGCTTTCCATTACACAAGCATAGGTACTGTATTGTATCGATCAAATGTTTGAAATGTCGACCTAACATACGGAAGACACAATGTCGTCGATTTGTCATTAAACGGTGATACTAAAAATCTTGACATTTAAAAACAACAGACACCAACGTTGAAATTATTTTGTAAACATTTTTACTGATATATTTCCGTATTTTTGGACCGTAGAGGTACCACAGTATATAACTTTTTCCAATATAAATATTCCGGCACAGAAACTGGTTACACCGTAGTGCTTTTCAATGACGACATGATTGGATAAGTTCTCACTGTAGAGCAGAAACATATAAAGTATATACGGGTCTGTGTAGAGTAAAAAAAATAATGAGTACAAACTGACTTTCCAGCTAAAATCAAGAAATATCTTTGATCGATAACATTGAGACTATTTCTGTTTAATTTCCCTCAAACTCGTTCATTTGAAAAAAAAAAACCATCAGTGCTCAGGTCGGGCCATGCAATGCTACCAGTCTATGTTACCCTATTCAGAGTTGTCAGTTTGGTTTCAATTAAACTCACTGTCTGGAAATTCTTGCAAATTTTATATGGCTGGATACCATATACATAATGTTAACTTCAGCATAATCTGAATCCTCAAAACTTAAAAAATATTAATTCGCAATCTGACGCTATATGACCATAGCTGTTCTTGTTAATCGCCTATTCCTTCGATGGTGACCGCTACAGACGTTGGACTTGTGACGTCACAGCCGATAGGAGCCAAATCACCACAAGTCACGATCATGCCAAATAGGAGTAGAAGGACAGGTGAAAATCGTACAATTAACACGTCAATATCTCGGTATGACCGATTTTTATGCGGTTTTCGACATTTTTGTTTTAATAATACGCGAGCGCTGTATAGGTAAATACAGGTCAGAGTAGGGGTAAAAAAACGACACGCTTCCGCGAGTAAGTACATCTAAATTGAAGTCCGTTATTGGTCTACTATGAACGGCGTTTTAGGAGCGTGTTTAATTAAACTGTTTGTGTGCGTTTGCGTTGAATTTCCGTTGCGTTTGCGTTGCATTTCCGTTGCGTTTGCGTTGCATTTCCGTTGCGTTTCCGTCGCGTTTGCGTTCCGTTTGCGTTGCGTTTGCGTTTAAACGGACAAGAAAAACGGTCCAGGGTCTGTAGCATACATCACAAAAGCGTACGTGACATTGAAATAGTAACGTATTTGTAAAACAGTGCTAACTGGAAAGAAGAGTTAAACGACTAACAGTTCTTGTATCGACTTATAGTAATCACCCTTGTATCTTAAAGACAGCATGCCAAATACATATTTTAATTCGAGATGCTTTCCTTGAAAAGATATGATATTCAATTTTTATTTTTCGATTATACAAACACTGTAAAAGTATAGTAACAGCAATTGATCGGTCTCGAATTCAATCGCGGTAACTTTTTTTTTCTTCTGTTTTTGTTTATTTATTTATTTCTGTAATACTCGAACGAAATGGGTTCCATGTATTTCAGCCTGATTTTACTTTTGATAACCTAACGTCATCTCGCTCTACTGTGACGGAAATGATAGACAATGTCTTTATGGTGTAAAGTGCGTCTAACATCAAGCCGTTAATTTCACTTCAACAAATGGTATCAAAATGGGTTGAACTATCAAATAGATTCAATAACAGAAAAGCATATACCAATTCTCTTTCAAGCCTTTCACAGTCGGATTTGAAGACAAAATGTATCTCATAATAGCTAAAAAAAATTTAGAACGAAATGCTATATGTGTTGGTTAATGCATTATCGAGATCATTAATTTTTGTTCGTGAAACAAAACATACAGCGAACTATTCATCTAGACTTTTTTTCAGAATGGTTACTCGATGTTCTTTAACTTATAAGTTTTTATTCAAATCATTGCTTCAAAAGGAGACTCACCTGCCCATACTGAGCATTGTATTGCTCTGCTGATCTCACATTTGTATCATAACGCTGGTGCTGTGCAAATTGTGAATTTTGGTGGAAGTTCAACCTGCCCACACCTTGACCTATTTAGCTGTTTATAACTTTACAGCTCATTGACAAACTGCGAATAATGTTTTATTTGGGCAACGACATAAATGTTGTATTGCATTGAAATCAACCTAAAGTTGCTATTTACCTGTGTTGTTCGTTTGATTTAATTTTTTCCTTTTGAAGACTACACGTACTTTGACTATTGCAATTATAGATAATCTTAATCACAATCAAGCTGCGACCTGGAACATTAATGTCATTCGTGACCTTGTCGTACATTTACCTGCGTTCGTCTGTTGTTGCGTATTTATTGGCCGCGCTAGACTGGTATCTAAGATATAAAGCAATGTTGATATGTGAGACAAGTATAAAACGTTGATGTTACTAGGTATGTTACCGTATTTCAGTGTTTCATTGAAACATGGCTTCTCTGTGGCTGTTCGTAATAGTAGGGATCATTTCTAAAGTTATAGCTCAAGATCAAATTCTAACACCGCAAATGCTGGAAATATGTACCAAACTGACACAGCGTATTGCCGAGGACAGTAAAACAATCACTGAATTGAGAAAACAGAATCTGGAGTTACAAAGAAAAGTTAATATAATGTGGACGTTTTACAGCCAGGATTTGAATAATGAGACCGTTACCGAATCTAAGGAATCTACTGATGAAACAACAACACGACTTACAGACCAGCTGAGTCAGACAGGACCGGGTGATACCATGGCGCGTGCCAAACGAGTCGGTATGCTATGAGTAATATCCCAGTTAAATTGGTGGTTTTTTTTGTCCAACGAGGAATGTTTCAGGCCACTTTCGGGTTCTTCATGACAAACTTTACTCGTTATTAATTTGTAATTAACCAGAACTCCTCTAAATATAATCGCATTGTTTACCTTTTGTTTTTGCTATGTTTTTTTTTGTTTTTTTTTTTTTTTCTGCCATGATTTTGTGGAGTCTAAATCTTTTGATTGGTAGCAGATGTGTTAATAGTCTTTAAGGTTTGTTGTAGGTCAAGGTCTAAAGGTGTGATTGCAACATTTTCAAGTAGATATTCTTTGGGGCTAACTTTTTCTCATGACATGTTAATACAAAAACAAGTCGAATACAAATCCTTGCTGTTGGGTCAAAGGTCACCAAATTTTCAACTTTTTAATTTTAAGTTTTTTTTTTTTTTTTTTTTTTTTTTTTTTTTTTTGGTTGATGGGGAATCTATTCCCATGAATTTGATGTTTTCAGTTTATCTGTAACATGTACCGTTAACATCCTACGCCAATTTTGAATATTTCCTGTGATCAATATGCTAAAACCTATTTTTCTCCAATGTTAATGATGTCAAATTCATTTAAACTGTTATGAAGGTTTTCCAAGTTGTCCTATTTGTTGTCTTTTTGACTTCATTGAGAAAACAAAATGGCCGTCATGACGTCATACCCGTGTTAACCTTAATTGTAATGATTCATTAATGGCTGAAGCTATAAAGTGCAACTTTGGAAATAATTTATAGACTAACAAAACAAACGTTTTCCTCAGGAAACATTTTGTGTCAAAGGTCACCTTTCGGTTTTCGGCAGGGGTCAATGTTCAACTGCACTATATTGGGTAACAAACTTTAAAATCTTCTTTTCAAGTTCTACGAAGTCTAGAGTATTGCTATTTAATCTGTAGGATGCTAAGATGTTTGGCTATCAGTTTAAAAAAAAAAAGGTTGACCTTGATAAGCTCCAAAGGTCAGAAAGGTCATATATGTATAAATATTCAATCCACTTTTTCTGAATAACCAATTATTTCAGGGTAACGTTTTTTGGCAAGAAGCATGCTTAAATGAAGGGCTTTAAAGTTTGTGAAAACAGATTATGTTGAACAATCTTTTTCTATGTTACCAAGAAGCAAATAGTAATATTTTTAACGCAGAATCATAGTGAAAAGATGGGTTGTAGGTCATAGGGGTCGAAAGTGTTGTTCTTATCATGAGGGCTTTTCACCATAAGATCCGTGCGATTTTGGCGTCCTCATCTTCTGATTGGTAGCAGACATGTTCAAAGTCTGTTAGGTATATTGTAGAAACATGATTTTAGGATGTTATCGCAACATTTTCAAGTACGGCAAAAATTCAATATGGCTGCCGTGACGTCATATGTCAAAATCTTAAAACCGACATAACTGAAAAAACGTTGATTATACAGCATACATGCAGGTATTCCATTTGCATATATTGCTTGAGGCTAACTTTTCCTCGTTACATGTTATTAGAACAAAAACGTCAAATGAAAATCCTCCTTGTTGGGTCAAAAGTCATCCGTTTTTCAACCATTTCATTCTAAATATTGTATAAAATGTTTTTTTGCACTCGATGTGGAAGTCCATCCCAATGAATCAGCTGTCTTCAGTTTTTCTGTTACGTTTACCGTTATCGTCCTACAAATGTACGTTATTTTGAATATTTCCTTTGATCTCAAAATCTCACTGCCGAGAAACGTTCTTAACTTGAGCAAGGCCAATACACGCTGGTTATACTACATCAATAATACGCACTCTCAATCTTAAATATATGAATAGTTTACACTTTCAGTTCATCACCATGATATAGATAGTTGAAGGATTACATGACTTTTGCGGATACAACACTGTCCATTGGCTGCCTATATTAATTAATACTTTCTCTGACGTCATTTCGCACTCTTTGAATCACCCACTACTCAGTCAGGTACCGTAGACTTGCACAAGTTCATGCCTGATACTTGGTGTAACAGAATTTTCATGGACAACAAACACTGCACATTTTCTTACTCAATGTCGCAGCTGTGATCGAAGGAATTTTTCAGAAATATCTATTAATTGTAAGAAGCGAAAAACCAAGATGAAACCCAAATCAGTCCTAACGGTGAAAAGCCCGTCAAATTGTAAAGTCTACAATTTCTAGTTATTTTTATTCTCATTCTTATTATTCTTCTGCCAAGATTTTGTTGCCACCTCAACTTTTGATTGGTAGAATATATGTTTAGAGTCTTATAAATATATTTCAGGACAAGGTCAAAATGTGTCATTGCAACATTTTAAGTAGGTCAATAATCAAATATGGCCGCCATGAGGTCATAGTTTACAATCTAAAAATGGCCATAACTCAAAAACTATTGATTTTGCAGCAGTCATGCAATTACATTGTATATTATTTGTAGATAATTTGTAGGGCTAACTTTTTCTCTAGACATGTTAATACAACAAAGGTCAAATAAAATCTACGCTGTTTGGTCAAAGGTCACCAACTTTTTTGAAAAGATCTTCTCGTACTTAATGAGGAATTGCATCCTGATTTATTTGATGCCTTCAGTTTTTCTATAACATTTCCCGTTGACACCCTACGCCATTTTGACATTTTCCTTTGATCTTTTTGAAAAGCCGACAATATATCAAAACCGTTTTATTCTGATGTTTTGCTACGCATATTTTATCCTGTGTAGGTATTTATGTTTGCCTAGACCATCTTCAAAATTTTTGATAACTTTTGTTGATTCAAAATCCAAGATGGCCGCCATGACGTCACATTCGCTTTTTCCTAATTACAATAACTTATTGATGAATAAAGCCATCGATTTCATCTTTGGATATACTATGTAGACTAACAATGCAAACCTTTTTCTAAGGAAAAAAAATTTGTGTCAAACGTCTGCTTTCGTCTTTCGGTAGGGGTCAAAGTTCAAATGCCCTTTTTTGGATAGCAAACTTTGAAAAGCTTTTTGTTTAAGGTTTAGAGTTTTAATATTTGAAATGTAAGATGCCGAGATGTTTAACCATAAGAACAAATAATGCATTACGGTTAAAAGCCCGTCAAATTGTTGGACAACAATTTCTAGTTTATTTTTGTATCGAGATACAAGGTGAGACTTCACTGGTTTGTTTCCTAGTCCCCGAGGATTGCCGTAACCTTGATAGCCACGTATATCTCATTGGAGTAGTATACACACTTTACTCGTGATTGATTTGACATTAACCGGTACTCCTCAACGTTCTTCAATTGTTACCAGCATGGGGGTTTCATGAGCCTCCCCTTTCTGTTGTTAACGTTGTTTAATCCAATTGGGATTGATATCTTTTCCGCTCTAGCGTCATCAACAAGTCTTATAAGGATTATGCTGTATATATTACGAAATATAAGAGGTGCATTCATATGTGTTTGTCTTAGGTTTACCATTTCACATGAAATTGAAGAGTCGGAATAAAAATATGTTTTCGCTAACTTGGAAAAAGTCAATTAACGTGATTATGGTTTTATTCCGTGGTAGAATACACTTACAAATGTTTATTAATGTATTATAGTGGAATATGCCACCCACATATTCTTTTAAGTTATTGAAATATTTATCAAATCTCAATCCTTTGTCATTCGCTTTTCTTACCGCTTACTCAACCATTACTTCCAACATTAGTTCAACCGAAAAACTTTTACGGTAATCAATGATCAAGTCCTTCTATAATCACACACTCAGAGTAGCACTACACCAAGAAAACTGTTTGAAGCACCTGTTTTCTGTTTTTGTTTTTGTAGGTAGCAGCAGTTTCGCTCCTACTCCGGGGTTCTTCGCTGTACTTAAAAGAAAACAAATCGATCCCAGTGAAAATTTCGTCATTCCTTTTGACCACGTTGTAACTAATGTTGGTGGAAATTTCAACTCTCATGGTACCGGAGTGTTCCGCTGTGCTGTTCCCGGGACCTATGTCTTCCACTGGACAATAAGTGTGGGCGGACACCAAATGGCATTCGGTGTTCTTGTGAAGAATGGTTCTCCGATATCTTTCGTAACTAGCGGGAGAGACGAAAACGAGTACTCTTCGGGATCGGGAGTTGCAATCATCGAACTAGATGTAGGGGATGATGTTCTTGTACGAGTGCAAGATCCTAGAAATTCTGCCGATATTACTGCAGATTTTACCACATTTTCTGGTTTTCTGTTGAAATAGTGAACATATTGCCATTTTATATTTAATTGCATAAATACAAAGAAATATTTGTTCCATCATGATAGCCATTTCGTTCATTTTGAAAATTAGAACACATCTAAGCATTGGACTGCTTTCAGTTGGCATTCATAGGCAATATGAATGCTAGCTAGACAAAGGCAAATTCAATGAAATGCCTTTGTTCAGTTGGAATTCGTTTTGTCTATGAATGCCAACTGAAAGCAGTTCAATACTTATATTTACCATTTTTGGAAACTGTTCATCTCATAGAAAATTTAATCACATTTACTATTTTTCAGCATTTTAGTTTAAATCATGAATGTATCGTGTATGCTTACTCAATGAATAGAACAGCTATCGCCGTGCTGTGCTTGATTTATCACTAGTTGGAAGGTTACAACAAAATCATGAATGTATCATCTGTTGTTTGGTGTGTTTGTGATGATGAGCAGTTTTCGGACCTCCACTTGATATTAAGCTGTTGAAATGGAAAATTTACTTTGATAGCATGTAAAATGTAAGCACAGTTAACCACACTGTGGTGTGAATTAACGTATCAAACAGTCCTATCTACCTGGCAGAACATGGGGATTGATAAATGAAATTTCAAAATAAAAATACAACATTTCTCATGTTGCTTTTACTTCTGGTGGTGAGTGAATACATGTCACATATTATGCTAACCTGCTATTTTATTGCACATACCAAATATGAGCTTTCAGGCACGAGTGGTAAGGCGATATTATTTTTGTCAATCCTGGGAACGCAAGCACACGAGCACGCGCTGCCGAGAAATATAAGGGTATGTGTCATGGTCATGTCATGTGTAATGTAGCAGAACTGGACTGGGTCGATCGTCGGCGACTAAGTAGCTCAATTGGTAGAGCGTCCGTCTAGTGGTCGGAGGGTCCCGGGTTCGAACTCTGGTCTAGCCGTGCTTTTTTCTTTCTCCTGTTACAGTGGTGCCGGTGACCAACCCTAGTAACCAGCATTTAGTGCATGCTTGGCAAGTGGATGCCCTAATCTATGTTGTAAATAGTTGTGTCTTCGGGGACGAAGACTTAGAAAAGGAGGGAGGAATGCATCAGAATTTGACTAGGTCCAACAATCATAATAAATCGATACAGTGTCGCACGGAGACTAAACGCCCGATCAACACCGAGGTCTATAAAATTAAACGAATGACAAAACGACCCATTAACACCGAGGTCTATAGGGTCACACTGAAGACAAAACGACCCATTGACACCGAGGTCTATAGGGTCACACGGAGGACAAAACGACCCATTAGCACCGAGGTCTATAGGGTCACACTGAAGACAAAACGACCCATTGACACCGAGGTCTATAGTGTCACACGGAGACAAAACGACCCATCAACACAAAATTATATAGGGTCACACTAAAGACAACACGACCCATTAACACCAAGGTCTATAGGGTCACACTGAAGACAAAACGACCCATTGACACCGCGGTCTATAGTGTCACCCGGAGACAAAACGACCCATCAACACAAAATTAGATAGGGTCACACTAAAGACAACACGACCCATTAACGCCAAGGTCTATAGGGTCACACGGAAGACAAAATAACCCATTAATATCAAGGTATATAGGGTCACACGGAGGACAAAACGACCCATTATCACCGAGGTCTATAGGGTCACACTGAAGACAAAGCGACCCATTAACCCCGATGTCTATAGGGTCACACGGGAGACAAAACGACTCATTAACACCAAGGTCTATGGGGTCACACGGAAGACAAACGACCCATTAACACCGATGTCTATATATAGGGTCACACGAGAGACAAAACGACCTATTAACACCGAGGTCTATAGGGTCACACTGAAGACAAAGCGACCCATTAACCCCGATGTCTATAGGGTCACACGAGAGACAAAACACACTGAAAACAAAACAACCCATTAACACCGATGTCTATAAAATTAAACGAATGACAGAACGACCCATTAACACCGAGGTCTATAGGGTCACAATGAAGACAAAACGACCCATTAACACCGATGTCTATAGGGTCACACTGAAGACAAAACGACCCATTGACACCGCGGTCTATAGTGTCACCCGGAGACAAAACGACCCATCAACACAAAATTATATAGTGTCACACTAAAGACAACACGACCCATTAACACCAAGGTCTATAGAGTCACACGGAAGACAAAATAACCCATTAATACCAAGGTATATAGGGTCACACGTAGGACAAAACGACCCATTAACACCCCGAGGTCTATGGGGTCACACGGAAGACAAAACGACCCATTAACACCAAGGTCTATAGGGTCACACTGAAGACAAAACGACCCATTGACACCGCGGTCTATAGTGTCACCCGGAGACAAAACGACCCATCAACACAAAATTATATAGGGGCACACTAAAGACAACACGACCCATTAACACCAAGGTCTATAGGGTCACACTGAAGACAAAACGACCCATTGACACCGCGGTCTATAGTGTCACCCGGAGACAAAACGACCCATCAACACAAAATTATATAGGGTCACACTAAAGACAACACGACCATTAACACCAAGGTCTATAGGGTCACACGGAAGACAAAATAACCCATTAATATCAAGGTATATAGGGTCACACGGAGGACAAAACGCCCCATTAGCACCGAGGTCTATAGGGTCACACTGAAGACAAAGCGACCCATTAACCCCGATGTCTATAGGGTCACACGAGAGACAAAACACACTGAAAACAAAACAACCCATTAACACCGATGTCTATAGGGTCACACGGGAGACAAAACGACTCATTAACACCAAGGTCTATAGGGTCACACGGAAGACAAACGACCCATTACCACCCCGAGGTCTATGGGGTCACACGGAAGACAAAACGACCCATTAACACCGAGGTCTATAGGGTCACATTGAAAACAAAACAACCCATTGACACCGATGTCTATAGGGTCACACGGGAGACAAAACGACTCATTAACACCAAGGTCTATAGGGTCACACTGAAAACAAAGCAACCCATCAATAACGATGTCTATAGGGCAACACGGGAGACAAAACTACCCATTAAAACCAAGGTATATAGGGTCACACTTAGGACAAAACGCCCCATTAACACCCCGAGGTCTATGGGGTCACACGGAAGACAAAACGACCCATTAACACCAAGGTCTATAGGGGCACACTGAAAACAAAGCAACCCATCAATAACGATGTCTATAGGGTAACACGGGAGACAAAACTACCCATTAAAACCAAGGTATATAGGGTCACACTTAGGACAAAACGACCCATTAACACCCCGAGGTCTATGGGGTCACACGGAAGACAAATCGACCCATTAACACCGATGTGTATAGGGTCACACGGGAGACAAAACGTCTCATTAACACCAAGGTCTATATAGTCACACGGAAGACAAAACGCCCCATTAACACCGAGGACTCTAGGGTCACACTGAAAACAAGGGGGCCCATCAATAACGATGTCTATAGGGTAACAGGGGAGACAAAACTACCCATTAACACCAAGGCCTATAGGGTCACACGAGTGACAAACGACCTATTAACACCGAGGTCTATAGGGTCACACTGAAGACAACACGACCAGTTAACACCCCGAGGTCTATGGGGTCACACGTAAGACAAAACGACCCATTAACACCGAGGTCTATAGGGTCACACTGAAAACAAAACAACCCATTAACACCGAGGTCTATAGGGTCACCCAGAAGAAAAAACGACCCATTAACACCCCGAGGTCTATAGGGTCACACTGAAGACAAAACGACCCATTAACACCCCGAGGTCTATGGGGTCACACGTAAGACAAACGACCCATTGACACCGAGGTCTATAGTGTCACACGGAGACAAAACGACCCATTAACACCGAGCGATATAGGGTCACACTAAAGACAACACGACCCATTAACACCTAGGTCTATAGGGTCACACTGAAAACAAAGCAACCCATCAATAACGATGTCTATAGGGTAACACGGGAGACAAACCTACCCATTAAAACCAAGGTATATAGGGTCACACTTAGGACAAAACGACCCATTAACACCCCGAGGTCTATAGGGTCACACTGAAGACAAAACGACCCATTAACACCGAGGTATATAGGGTCACACGAAAGACCAAGAGACCCATTAAAACACTGATGTCCGACATGGGTCATCCGCTAGACTCAACGGCCCAGCAACATACATAACCTGGAGGGTCACAAAGTAGTCTGAAAGTTCCAGCAACACATGAGCTTAACAAGGTCACAAGATAACAAGGCAGACTAAGCGCTACATCAAAACATATCTTCGTAGGCAACTGCGTTCATACTACCGTTTGCGCCGTCAAAATGAAGGGCAATCCCTATATTTACATCAAAAAACTATATACGCAGAAAAACAAGTGGGTTGCATCGATGGTAAATACGGTAGTGATGGTTGCTAAGATAGTATAGTTCCAGTGAATCTACATCGATATTTGAGTAAATTAGGAAAATAGACAGTGAACAACACAAATTATTCTCCTTTTCGTAACTTTTAAAATTTGAAAAAAGTAGTGTGATTAATCCTTCGAACTCCTTTATTCATTTATGACGGTCGACATGTGTGCGTGCGCGCATTGACACACTGCTCAGGGATTGACGCGGTCGAATGTTTCAGAACGAAGCCGCCATTGTTTGCGTTACCTTCAAATAAATGGAAGAAGTTTGCCATTATCCCTCTGTTGTAAAATTAGACATATCTAGATGTTGAAGGAACCAAACAATGGTTGTGGTCAGAAGCTGAAACGTGAACAGTGCCATATTTGAAACAAGTATCAATCCATCGTCCCTTTTATTACTACGTGTACGCTAATTTATACGCAGTTAGAGTTTACAAAGCTGAAGAAGGGAGAGCTGTAAATATAAAAGCGTGTTTTATTTTACAATTTTATCACAGTTAAATGAAATAGAAAATCGTCTGTCAAGTAGGTGTTCAATACAGATGACGTAACGTGTTCACATAAAATGTTATTATGACACCATATATGTCGTTCTCACAGTAAACATCTGTAGTTGATAAACATCACACCGATGATAGTGATGTTTATATGACGGTAAGTAAAAGTTGATTATACAGGATCTACCAGCAGTAACAACGTCACTGATACGTCATAAAGGCCAGGAGACATTGATAATATATAGGTTATCATCAGCAGTCACTATGACGTCTCTTTAGATAGCGATGATGTCAGTATGACGTCACATTAGATAGAGATGATGTCATCACGGTAAACAACAGTTGATGATACACAGGATTCCTGCCGCCAGTGCTAGTACAGCTGCGGTCACGTCTAGTCCAAACGACCAGGACAGGAGGGAACTTACCACCGAACTAAAGCTCACCCCGTACACGATCAGTCCGGCTATAATGACACAGCCTGGGGAAAGAAAAAATATATATATCACAGACATTTCTTTATCACATAAAGTACTGTGTTATCCAGTTAATATACCCATGTCATATTTGTTTGCGTATGAACCAATGTAATATGACATATCAGCCCTGTGATTGGTTGTAAGTTTCAACTGTTTCAATGGTGAAGTCACACCTAGGACAAGTTCATGCCGTCACAGGTTTACGCATTGGAGTCAAAATGGAGGCCTTTTTACATCTTAAGTTAACTGGAAACTCATGTAAGATCCTATATGTCTCGATTCGGTATTTTAATATACGGAAACAAATATCCTCGTTTTTGTGGGGTGTTTTTGCTTTCTTTAATGCTTTTACCCCCTTTTCACTTATCATAATGTTAATTACTATACTGAAAAACAGAACATTTCGGGATCGGGCCCTGGAAACAATAACCTTAACCGTGCGTGTACCCTCGAAAGGAAGGAGCAAATGTGGGTTTTCTCTCGACACAACATATAAAATATTAAACTTTTATTTTTCCAATACCACTTATATCAGTTTATATTTTGAATAATCTTCCTGATAAAACACTGTCAACTCACATTTAAAATCATGTTGTAGAACTTACAAAGGAATCAGGGAAAGGTGTATTGCTCACAATCAAAGGGCAGATAACATACAAAGGGCAGATAACAGACAAAGGGCAGATAACAGACAAAGGGCAGATAACAGACACAGGGCAGATAACAGACAAAGGGCAGATAAAAGACAAAGGGCAGATAACAGGCAAAGGGCAGATAACAGACAAAGGGCAGATAACAGACAAAGGGCAGATAACCGGCACTCAGGATATGTCTTATAAAGCTATTCCACAGAGGCAACAATTATTTTACAACGGAACAAAACTAACAAAATAATACAACATAGCATCATTGGCCTGCTAGTATAGGGGCGGTAAAGTTATGTATCTCACCTGCTAGGATACTAGTGATGGCGGCCACCACTCCGATCGCCTTGAAGGTACAACAGCAGTAGAGGAGGAGGAGGACCATGGAGACGATGATGAGGAGAAAACCAAACATCTGGAGGGACAGGTTGACCAGGAAGTCATCGTATCGATCTAACAGATAAAAACGTAGACTGATAAAACTATCCGTATTTATACAATACATTCTAGATACCAGAGAAGCATATAAGTCATTAAAACCATTACTGGAAATACAAAATAAGAAAGAACCTATTTCAAATTAAGGTAATTGGTGCAGAATGGCAAAGAGAGTAAATGGTTAAAGTAGGTTGATTTGTTTAATATAACTTTAACATAACATGGTTAATTTCATATCTATTTTATGATAATACATAGGTCATGTATGTTGCTGAGCCGTTGAGTCTACCTTCACTAATTTATTTTTTAACAAACCGTTACTTTAAAAGCAAAACGATATTAAGATATAAACAAAGCAAACAAAAAACATTAAAAGCTAGTATAGTTAAGTATTTAAGAAGTTAATTCATTTGCAATATAAAGATAATCACGTTTTACCAAAACAGGTACTAGTGACAATATTGATTGCAATGCATTAAAATCGTTGGAAGTAAAGTAAAACACAAATACAGTCAAAAGAAAAACACAAAAACATATTCGGTATGACGAGACACCAAAATAAACATCATGAACCGCAATAAAATTCACCGACGCTATTAAATTCTTGAACGGTAGAGTAAACGTTTATTATGTATTTACGAACCTCTTCTTGTTTACAGAGAAAATATATTTCTGATATATACAAGAATTTATCGCCTGAGGATCAGCAAGATTATTGGGCGATTTATATCTAGATTAAATAGATACGATTCCCGTGTGAGTTTTTGTGTACAGGAAGAGAAGCTTTCCAGAGGTGTACGACAGGGTTCACTTTTTTGTCCAAAAAACTATCAAAACAATGTTTTACGCTATCAAATAATATTATATTATTTAAAGTAGGATCTGCTGCAAATTATGAACTCAAATATGTAAAAAAAACATTGCATAATAAAAAAGTAATAAAATCTTATACTCTAAAAATGTTGGTATTTTCATACACTTTTTTGCTACTTCAATTGTTTCACGGAATTAAACACCAATTTCCGGTTCTTGTACACCAAAAATCTTTTAACATTATTTGGTGCATTAAGTTGAGATATGATAGTAAAAATTTCAGAAAATTTGAGAACCGGTAAATTTGTCATTTAAATGTCAAATTGTAGCAACGTCTATTTCCAAATAAAATCCAACAACCTTATGACCTATAGTCATGTTTGATCATTTAACAATATGTCGCACCAATTTATTATCGCAACTGATCAAATTTTCCTCAATAAGATCTGCCGCTCATGATGAGCCCAACTATAAAGCTAGATGTTGCAAAATAAAAAAGTTATGCAGTCTCACACACATAAAAGTTTAGTATGTTATGTACATTTTTAGTTGTTTCGCATCTTTATGGAAGTGATAGACATATTTTCGGTTTTTGTACAACAACATACTTTGGATATTATTTGGCACATTATGTTGACTGACGATAGTATAAATTTCGAAAAAATTGGTATGCGGTAAATGTGTCATCTTAAGGATAATATGTTGTATGACCAATGTCAAAATAAATCGTCAATAACTACAGGTCAATGCAAGTATTTCATAATTAACCCAAAATTATTCCAATATACTATCAAGGTGGATGATATGGTTTATAGTAGAGTATGGCTGGTTAACTAAACTAGGTAGTTAAAGGGGGGAATACAGCAAAAGATAGGCAATTTGTCAGAACATTTGGTGTACCAGTATAATATGTTGAAGATATGTTAACCCATCACATTGTTTCTTTTTAGGAGAGTTATAGTTCCCAATTCATGGATTGTTGTATTTACTGTTGTTGTTTATAATTTGACAACACATAGTCAAAATTGATCATTTAATTTTTTTTTCTGAATTTCTCCTTTCTCAGTTCAGGTCTTATTATTTTTTCATATTATTCCCGACAAGTAATTGGCCAGAAGTGCATCAAGTGTCCACCGATAAAAACTGATATTGACTTGGAGCGCATGATTTTTGTTGAAGGACTGGGTGTTTCTTAAAATAGAATTATGACGTGTCTCCAAACAATGCACCGTCCCACTTCCGAAGGTTTGTTTTTTTCAGATTGGTTACATTACTCTTTTGTAAAATAATAATACAATTGAAGCCTTTTACTTCGGTAAATACCTGGATTTATCGACCCGAGAAAATGACCTCGGAATGCGTCCTCGGTTAATATATCTTTTCTCGGGTTGATACATCCAGGTATCGACCTCAGCCAAAGGCTATAATTGAATAATGTTTCTGTTTTTGAATGCATTCATAATATGCAGTCTCTGAAATTGCGATCTGAAGGCTGGAGCGGTTTAGCATCTGTTAAATGTGCATAGTATCCTAGATAATACAGTATTGATGCGACATGAGTACACATACCCGATGTTCTCTTTCCTGCAGGACACGCACAATAGTATGCCTTGACAGGATCCTCTGATGCGTGTAGGTCAAACTCTATCCCGACATTGTAGTTTGCCTGCGACCTGTGGCGAGAGTGTATTTAGCCTCGGAGAAGGTCATCAGCATGTTGGTACCCATATCTCATAATCACCCCCATCTGTCTGATGTTCTGTGATATAGCCAGGTGCCAGCTTCAGCTGATATGTACAACATATTATCCTTAAGATGACACATTTACCGCATACCGATTTTTTCGAAATTTATACTATCGTCGGACAACATAATGTGCCAAATAATATCCAAAGTATATTGGTGTACGAAAACCGAAAATATGTCTATCACTTCCGTAAAGTTGCGAAACAACTAAAAATGTACATAACATACTAAACTTTTATGTGTGTAAGACTGCATAACTTTTTTTATTTTGCAACATATAGCTTTATAGTTGGGCTCATCATGAGCAGCAGATCTTATTGAGGAAAATTTGATCAGTTGCGATAATAAATTGGTGCGACATATTGTTAAATGATCAAACATGACTATAGGTCATAAGGTTGTTGGATTTTATTTGGAAATAGACGTTGCTACAATTTGACATTTAAATGACAAATTTAACGATTCTCAAATTTTCTGAAATTTTCGCTATCGTATCTCAACATAATGCACCAAAACATATGTAAAGATTTTTGGTGTACAAGAACCGGACATTGGTGTTTTACTTCCGTGAAACAATTGAAGTAGCAAAAAAATGTGTATGAAAATACCAACATTTTTAGAGTTTAAGATTTTATAACTTTTTTATTATGCATTTTTTTGTTACATATTTGAGTTCATAATTTGCAGCAGATCCTACTTTAAATAATATAATATTATTTGATAGCGTAAAACATTGTTTTGATAGTTTTTTGGACAAAAAAGTGAACCCTGTCGTACACCTCTGGAAGGCGGCACTAAATAGTTCATAGCACAGGCCCTAGGGACCTTTTACATTTTTTTTAAATATCTCATGGGTCGTGTCTTAGGGAGTTACAAATATAACCCAGTAATGGTTAAGTTGCTTTGTGGGCAAAATTATTTTGTTCCTGTAACAGGTCCTTTCATTGCTGCTAAATAATCGCTATTTTAACCAATTGATCTGAAGCGTTGCCAGTGATAACTGGCTTATACGTACAAAATGTATATTTACAAATGCTTGATAGTTTTGGGTTTAAAGGACAGATTATTGTCGATTTAACAGAATCATGCTGATTTTAAAGAATCACAAATGCAAAAACTGATATAAGAGTTACAATGCAGGAAAGATAACTTTGTATGAACTATATTGCTCGGTACATTGTAGATCTACAATATAACAACAACTATGATGATGTTCAACCCCATTTGCCAATTGTTTTTACACTGGGAAATCAATCTCTGAATTTGCTAGAACAAACTTCTGATGTGTCCTCTGAAGTAGATATGTGTATACGTACCTTTAGTGTTATTTGTAATAAATTTTAATGTGATAACTTGAAAATTAGCCACGTCAACGTACGTATAATTAATAGGAGAAGTAATAAAAATTAAAATAAAAAAATAAATACAAACAAAACGCTGAATAATCATACAAGAAGAGGTATCAATTGGAACTTAGCAACACTAAACAAAAATAAAGAGAACGTGAACATTGGAACAGATGCAGGCTAGAGACAGGTGCTCTGTAAGAGTAATCATTTCATGTACCATATATGTTACTCGTTATGGTGTCGCACATCCAATCTGGAACAGTACACAGGATACTAACGAGCTTAGACTCAGTAAACAAATACTTCTATTTTTGGAATACAAAAGTATTTTATAGCTAGAAATAATAATGAACAAATATGCATTTACTTCAATGAAGACTCAACGATTTTTTTGGTAGGAAACCTTGGCAAGACAGTAACGAATATAACTAAAATGTTTATTTTTTATAGCAAAAATAGCAGTAAATAAAGGTAGTACCTGTTGTGGCGTAGGAATGTGTTCCCACGTTTTTGACCAATCACAGTACCTTAAGGTTTTATCACACATGTGTATAGCCACATTTATGACATGACCGTATTACATAGTAAACTAAGTCAGGTATGTGATAGCATCGATTAATCGAGGGAGAAACATACTTATGCTTTATTACATTCCATGACACGCCATGTGAATAGCTTTCAGCTAGTAATGCATTTTAATTCACCTTCCAGTTCATTAAACGAGTGCCCGTACCAAAGTATGTATAATTTGATTTTGATTGCATTTTTTAAGATTAACATGATATAAGTGCTAGTCATTTCAATTTGATAACTTTGACGTGGAGGTACTGTTTAGCTGTAGTGCTATGGTGATTATCAGGTAAATTATATCAAATAATGTCATTTTACACTCTACCTGAAATATTTAATTTTAACTTTAATTAAAGAACCTCACGTGAGGTATTTTTACCTGTAATATTTTATAGTTAATTAAAACATTCCCGTGCTACTGTATTATAAAAATATATTTAATGACACACATTTACATGTACCTACATCTGTATTGGTTGGATCATAATCACGTGGGGTCGGTTATATTTCACATTGACTCAGTCTTACTATATTTAGAAACAGGAAATGTCTACTTTATGACGTCGTATGCTGGGTTGTTATTTGAATTCTTGATATGCAATAATTTCGTAAATTCCCTTAAATATTATATATCTAACGAGTATAGACCTTATACATCCATACATCAAATTATTTGTAGTGATCAAAATCAATGAATAGCACATGTACTTGTGACCTCTATACAAAATATGGAAAATTCGGTTAAAGGTTCAGTTCCAATCCAGTAACCTTCAACTTTTTTCAATAAGCCCTATACACATTGGAATCAATATTTTATATTAAGCTCTCTCATATACACTGAAAAGTTCACCGTCCCACATTTTCACCAACTTAATGAGATTTAGATCGTATTGTTTACTCGTTGCCATGACGATATATAACATTTGTAGGTAAAGAATGTATTTAACATCCGTAAATAACTGAACCATGCAATCAATTTGTATTTAAATATATATATAACTCCATTGGATTCTTTCAAACTTGCTATAAAGATGACAGGTTTTTAAACAAACGCTTTCTTGTAATAAAATAAAATCATTCGTGAAATGCGTTAATGGATTTTAAATCAATCGATTAATTCATACAGATATTAATTTTATTTCTTTCGCAGTATGACGTTATCCTTACACAGTGTACAAAATATACTATTTCGATTATACATACAAGTACTATTTGTACACTGTAAGAAGCTTTTTTCTTTACACATACATGTACATTGTACATATTCCGTCTTTGCGTATTGCAGAGTTATCTTCTCTTGTGAGCAGGTATTGATTGTGACGTCATTTGTTTGTGAGAGGAACATCATCAATTTTTGAGAGAACGACGTAATTTTCTCGCACAAACCAATGACGTAACAATCAATACCTGCTCACAAGAGAAGATAACTCTAAAATACGCAAAGACGGAATAAGAATATCATTGCACAGTAACATCTGCAGATATTGTATTATAGGTTAAATGTGATTTACATATTACATATATACATTAGTAAACAAGTATTGTTAATTTCATTTTCATTTCAACAAATTTTGTTGAAAAAAAAACAATTGAACAATTGGATGAGACAACATGCTTAGCCTATATAAGTCTAAAGACAGGTATTGTTAATGATTTGTGTACGTACATTCAGTACGTAAAAAGGAATGTAGAGATAAGACGATTATATGTATAATTTGTATACATTTATGAGAAAAATCAAAAAAATCAGAAACAGGTAGATCTGTATTCCGTCTTTGCGTATTGCAGAGTTATCTTCTCTTGGGAGCAGGTATTGATTGTTACGTCATTGGTCTGTGCGAGAAAATAACGTCGTTTTCTCAAATATTGATGACGTTACTCTCACAAACAAGTGACGTAACAATCAATACCTGCTCCCAAGAGAAGATAACTCTGCAATACGCAAAGACGGAATAGCCTTGGTGTTTTCATTATCAGTCTTCAGACGTTTTAAACAGATCTATGTGTCTCTGATTTGTTTTTAAACTATTTATATAGGCCTACCTACTGGACAATGAGAATATAATACATTTTAGTATTTATATAATATCTTGTGTGACATTCATATTCTACAAAGTGTATAAACCAGTTTTCTGATGTTTATACTGTGTACGACGTTTTTGTCTTGTTGATGTCGTTAACGGTACATTGTAATATCTTAACGGAAAACATTAAAATGTATAATTCTTCAAAGCGGAAAGCAAGCCTTCCATTGACAAGTATAAAGTGACGTCATAACTAATCACAAGACAAGTTCTAGTTGTTACAATATCATGATCGATGTTTTCATTTGGAATAAAGTCTGCAAAATGAGCATAAAAAGTAAACCTAAATTTATCTCAGTGTACAACCATCCACAGTAGATACCTTTAGCAATGGCGTACCACTCTAAATGCCGAAAAGTTGGTGGTATATTTTATATGCAACATTTTGGTGCACACATACAAGGCACTGAATGGGAAAGCTCCCCAGTATTTACAGGAGCCTGTTACCTTGTGCAGAATCTTTGTGTGTCCCAAAACTCGTAATGTGACCTATGGACACCGGTGCTTTGTGAGGCTTTCGACCACGTTGTTGAACATCTTACCATCTACTATCAGGAAGTCAAAGACCTTGGCCAAACTCAAGAAGTATTTGAAGACCCACCTCTTCACGTCTGTATTTTAGGCTAATGTCACAGACATCATGACTATATACCATCCTTTATATATTCATGTATATGCACATTGAGATGATGATCTTCCTACTTAACGTATATTGGTGGATTGTATGCTTTTTTTTGTTTATCTATTATAACCATTACTATTATCCATGCGCTGTAAAGCGCTTTAAAGTAATTTTACAATGTATATCGGGTGCCATATAAATGTTGAGTATTATTATAATTACGTACCTGTCCCCTGGTAAGCGCTGAGGAGGTTGTCGATGGTGAAACAGTCACTGATGCTGTTCTGACATGTTGTTAGGAGACCAGAGTAAGTGATGGTGCCATTGCTTTCCTGCTGATGCCAGAAAGGCGTGAAGATAGCCACACATGCGCATATGAAGCTGATAATGATGGCTATAAGTGCAACACAGGCTAATTTAGAGGAATCGCCAATACATCCCATCCTTGAGCTTGTTGTTAGTAACTTAGTCAAGTCTAATACTTCTCTGTCAAAATAAGTGTACTTGGAAGCTGGAGAAATGCTATTTTGATAATTGTCGTGTTTGAAATACGAACTTTTCCGTCTTTTTCTTTGAATGTCTTTTTTTTTTTTTTTAATCCATCAGTGACATGGGGATTAGATTATAATTAAGTGTTGTTTTCCTCTGTAAGAGATCTGTACTCACTACGTGTATCACTGGTCGGTCCCCAATCAAACGACTTTATAGAAAACGTTGTATCGTTTGTCGGTGGATAAAGTGTGTTAACGCAACTGTAACGTTACACACATGGCTATAGATGTTGTATACTGTCACACAAAATAAAAAACCGACAGATGGTGTCGGTTGTTGTAAGGTGACTACTAATCTGAATATGTGTTAGGCATCTGGCGACTTTTATATAGAAAAGTAACAGCCGATATACACATAAATACACACGTATGTATTCGTTAATATGAGTAAAACAGGAGTAAAACCTGAAGTTACCTTTAGCGAGGTAGCTGTTTATATTTACCTGTACGTGAATAAACCTTACTTTATGTAGATGCATCGTTCGTGACAGTTTCTAGTACAGAATATTCACTTCGAAGGGAAATTTATTAATATCCCAGAAAAAAGACCTAATGCGGACATCATGCAGTTCTCCCAACCAAACGTTCAATAGGTTCTATAGCAATTCGTGATATTTATAAGTATCAACACACTCCCCCGCGAGATTACGTTAAAGGTAGGTATCGATATATTTTCTGGGAGTTGATACATGTGCAATCTATCAATACACCAATAAACCGTCCAGTAGTATTGTGATATGTATTGTAAGTATCAATACATCCACCATTGGACCACGACGATAGGGTAAAAGATGTATTTAGGACAACTCAAGTACAACGTAAATAGGGTTTTAGGATATATTTTAATCTCATGATTAACGTGTTAGCCAGTGAACACGCCCAATTCATATTTATCCCTATGAACTCATGTTCATATGATATACTATGACGTCATAACTTGATAATTTCATGCCGTCAGATTGAAGTATACATCATGATGTAACCATGGAGACAAGACATATAAAACCAATATGGTTTGATTTTATACTTCAAGGATAACACGGGAAACGCTGTTTTCTCAACATTCGCTAAACTTCTTGACTATGTGTTAAACAAAACCTCAATCTCATCATTAATTTCAGTTAATATTTTTAGTGGCTCGCTTAAATGGAAACTTTTAAATTTCATACGAAAAATGGAAGCTAATTTCAGATCCCCTTTAATACTTGCTATATATTCTTGATAAAAAACAGTTGAATGCCGTGCTGTTTATCACACCATGAAATTCTACATACATCTGATAGTATAAGAGGATGCTTTCAGCCTTTACCGAATGTAAGGTACTGTTCTACACAGTAAAGTGACGTTTGTAAATGTATACCTCATGTTAATTTTGACCACCTTGGTATTCCCCTCATTATACCACCAAAGGACGACATCAACTCACAACGATAGAATATATTTCAGCGTCAACACACTAGGACAGAAAAAACACCACAAGCGTAAACAGACAACGATAGAATCTATTTCAGTGTCATAACACTAAGCCAAAATATACCACAAGTGTAAACACACAACTAAAGAATCTATTTCAGCGTCATAATACTAGGACAAGAAATGCTACAAGCGTAAACACACAACGACAGAATCCATATCAGCCCCAACAGACTAAGCATAAAAAAACACAAGCGTAAACACACAACGATAGAATCTATTTCAGCGTTATAACACTAGGACAAAAAAATAACACAGCATAAACACACAATGATAAAATACACCACATCGTCAACCCAAATCATAAAATTTACCATAACGTCAACACAACGAAAAAATACACACACAACGACAAGATATACCACAGATTTAACAGAAAACGATATAATGTAACACAGCGGCAACACACAACTGTAAAATTGAACACAATGTCAACACACTACGACAAAAATACCACATCGTCAACACACAATGTTAAAACATACCACGTCGTTAACACACAAAGGTAAAATATACCACGTCGTCAACACACAACGTTAAAATATAGTACGTCGTCAACACACAACGTTATGATATACCACGTCTTCAACACACAAAGGTAAAATATACCACATCGTCAACACACAACGGTACAATATACCACATCGTCAACACACAACGGTAAAATATACCATATCGTTGACACACAACGGGAAAATATACCACATCGTCAACACACAACGGGAAAATATACCACATCGTCAACACACAACGGGAAAATACACACACAACGACAAGATATACCACAGATTTAACAGAAAACGATATAATGTAACACAGCGGCAACACACAACTGTAAAATTGAACACAATGTCAACACACTACGACAAAAATACCACATCGTCAACACACAATGTTAAAACATACCACGTCGTTAACACACAAAGGTAAAATATACCACGTCGTCAACACACTACGTTAATATATAGTACGTCGTCAACACACAACGTTATGATATACCACGTCTTCAACACACAAAGGTAAAATATACCACATCGTTGACATACAACGGGAAAATATACCACATCGTCAACACACAACAGTAAAATATACCACATCGTCAACACACAACGGGAAAATATACCACATCGTCAACACACAACGGTAAAATATACCCCATCGTCAACACACAACGGTACAATATACCTCATCGTCAACACACAACGGTAAAATATACCACATCGTCAACACACAACGGTAAAATATACCACATCGTCAACACACAACGGTAAAATATACCACATCGTCAACCCAAAACGGTAAAACATTCAACAGCGTCTATATACAAAGACAAAAAAGGCAACAACATTGTACACAATAATTGAATATACATGTTCCACAGCGTCGACTCAAATGAGCCTGAAACCAAAACTTTAAAGTGGTATCAGGCCGTATTATGCAGCACCCTAATACTGTAGTTTCAGATGTTACAAAAAAAACAACTATAAAAATTAGAAATGTTGTTGTTTTTGTAAAGTGGCTGAAGTATCACAGAAGATGATATAACGTTTTGAAGTATATGCAATCGCGACAAAAAACAACATCACATTTCACTTTGTCAATGATGCACGTATAAGAATGTTCAATATATTATATATATATATATAATTCGACATGGCAGAGTTACTCATATTTACAAAGAGTAATGCAATCTTTAGCAAAGAAAACCACAGACCTGCAGTATTCTGCTAGTTGTCTCAAAAACGTTTGATAACAATATTAAACATTCTCTTCCCAGTAAACAGTTGCTGAGGAAACTGCGAGTCTATATGATAGATGGATCAGTAACTGACCTTATCAGTAACAGGTTAGAGTGTGTTAGTCTAGGGTCCGTCTCACGTTACTGGAGAATACTTATCAAAGGTACCTCACAGAACCATAATGTTTACCATTTTTCTTAATGGCAATTTTAACAAACTTTAATAAGTTACTTTGAACCATGACACAGACGACAATATCCTAAAGCTTTCCGGCAATAATGATCAAAACAATATACAACAATTGTATAGCGCGCTATATTAGTTGTAAAATTACTCTAAGTCGCTTTACAACACATGAATAGTAGTATACCTACAGAGGAGGTTATACACATACGAAATGTAGCAGTTAAAAAAGGCAGGCAAATCTGCACTATACATTAGGTAACGAGACGTTTATCACCTTATGCATATAAATATAGAGGGTGGTTTGCACACACAAAAATGCAGACTTAAAGAGCTCCTCAGCAACGTGGTCGAAACCTTTCAAAAGCACGGGTTTCAATATGTCACAGTACGAGATTATTAGACAAACAACAAGGATTCTGTCTCCGACCACAATTATCGAGACGGCTATCACACTAATTTTAATAAAAACAAAGTCTGAGATAAAAGTCAAAATTTTGTTTTAAGGAAATCTTGTTGAAAGAAAACCGGGGCAACCTCTATTGTTTTTTCATTGCAAAATGTATTAAAAATTATTAAATCGTTCAATATTGATGGTTAAGAAATATGTTGCGAAGGAGTACTTGGGCTATTGGGTTTTAATATCGACTTAACCAAACATCAGCAGAACTAGAGTTACTTTTCATTGAGAATGTTTTACCATTCCCCTAAAGACATTTTAGTTCGAAATAATGCCGCATATCTCAATGATAAACGGATCAAATGTATAGAACCGCCGTTTTTCCTGTTGAAGTTACAATGACTGTTCTCTTATATAATTGCAGGAAGAAATATAGCACAAACAAATGCATCCGTGAATTTATATATGGTGAACACTTTAATAATCAGAAGGTTTTTTTTATTTTAAAGGAAAAACAGTTTGAGCCAAAAGACCATGTGGGTACGGGATATCGGGGCCTATATTCATAAAACCGTTCCCATGCTCATGCATTGATTTTGTGCAACATATAATACAGCATATTTAATTTATTCCAATATTTTTATGGTTATTAATGATTAAGCTAGTTGATATGTAACAGTTAAGGGTAATATCAGTCTTTCTTTATTTATGTCAGTTTGATACATATCTAAATGCAGTTATGAAGTGCTAAAACGTTGTTTTGTTTAGATTAGGTGATGCCTGACCACCTATCATTAGGGTATTAGCAATATCACCAACTCAGTATAAAACTTATTAAAATAATTTATAAATTATGATATTCTTGTTATCGATTTTGTTTGAATATACATAAAGAATGTTAGATATAATGAATAAAGATGTAGATCAATACCATTGTTAAACATAAGCGTTATTTCGTTATGAAGATAGGCTTCTATCGTTAGTGACGACACACATTTGAGACACATACAATGTAAGAAGCAGTTCTAGATGATTTCTTCTCAATATGTGGACTAGCAAGCCTAGCTTGTCACTAACGATTTGAAGGGGTGTAAATGTATATCCTTTCGACAGTTCATACAATTAACTTTTTTAAATAAAATATATAGCTAATCTAGTCAATTGCTATTTAAGTACATGCGATATTTTGTGCATTTAACTTTTTTAAATGTTCCACATCGCTTTTGAATGGTTTTGTGGTATTGCTATTATATCACGCTCGCTCATTTTATTGTTATTGCATATCGTATTATGAAAAAGAAAACAAATTGCAAATTAAATTTATGAGACAAGGGAGGCAACCCATCACCTCAACGAGGGATTATCTCTCTTGTCCCAACACGAATATGATGGGGAACAGTTTTTTCA